TATGACTTACTGTCTATTGTGTAATAAAAATAATAGTTCAAGTATTGTTGATTGGTAGAGAAAGACAGAATAATTTATAAATGCGACCAATAATACACATTTTGACTTACTGTCTATTGTGTAATAAAAATAATAGTTCAAGTATCGTTGATTGGTAGAGAAAGACAGAATAATTTATAAATGCAACCAATAATACACATTATGACTTACTGACTATTGTGTAATAAAAATAATAGTTCAAGTATCATTGATTGATTGAGAAAGACAGATTAAATTATAAAATGTAACCAATAATACACATTATGACTTACATGCTATTGTGTAATAAAAATAACAGTTCAAGTATCATTGATTGGTAGAGAAAGACAGAATAATTTATAAATGCAACCATTAATACACATTATGACTTACTGTCTATTGTGTAATAAAAATAACAGTTCAAGTATCATTGATTGATTGAGAAAGACAGAATAATTTATAAAATGTAACCAATAATACACATTTTGACTTACTGCCTATTGTGTAATAAAAATAACAGTTCAAGTATCATTGATTGGTAGAGAAAGACAGAATAATTTATAAAATGTAACCAATAATACACATTTTGACTTACTGCCTATTGTGTAATAAAAATAACAGTTCAAGTATCATTGATTGGTAGAGAAAGACAGAATAAATTATAAAATGTAACCAATAATACACATTATGACTTACTCCCTATCGTGTAATAAAAATAATAGTTCAAGTATCATTGATTGGTAGAGAAAGACAGAATAATTTATAAATGCAACCAATAATACACATTATGACTTACTGCCTATTGTGTAATAAAAATAACAGTTCAAGTATCATTGATTGGTAGAGAAAGACAGAATAATTTATAAATGCAACCAATAATACACATTTTGACTTACTGTCTATTGTGTAATAAAAATAATAGTTCAAGTATCATTGATTGGTAGAGAAAGACAGAATAATTTATAAATGCGACCAATAATACACATTATGACTTACTCCCTATTGTGTAATAAAAATAATAGTTCAAGTATCATTGATTGGTAGAGAAAGACAGATTAAATTATAAAATGTAACCAATAATACACATTATGACTTACTGCCTATTGTGTAATAAAAATAACAGTTCAAGTATCATTGATTGGTAGAGAAAGACAGAATAATTTATAAATGCGACCAATAATACACATTATGACTTACTGACTATTGTGTAATAAAAATAACAGTTCAAGTATCATTGATTTGTAGAGAAAGACAGAATAATTTATAAAATGTAACCAATAATACACATTTTGACTTACTGCCTATTGTGTAATAAAAATAACAGTTCAAGTATCATTGATTGGTAGAGAAAGACAGAATAATTTATAAATGCAACCAATAATACACATTATGACTTACCCCCTATTGTGTAATAAAAATAATAGTTCAAGTATCATTGATTGGTAGAGAAAGACAGAATAATTTATAAATGCAACCAATAATACACATTATGACTTACTGACTATTGTGTAATAAAAATAACAGTTCAAGTATCATTGATTGGTAGAGAAAGACAGATTAAATTATAAAATGCAACCAATAATACACATCATGACTTACTTCCTGTTGTGTAATAAAAATAACAGTTCAAGTATCATTGATTGGTAGAGAAAGACAGAATAATTTATAAATGCAACCAATAATACACATTATGACTTACATGCTATTATGTAATAAAAATAATAGTTCAAGTATCATTGATTGGTAGAGAAAGACAGAATAATTTATAAATGCAACCAATAATACACATTATGACTTACTGACTATTGTGTAATAAAAATAACAGTTCAAGTATCATTGATTGGTAGAGAAAGACAGATTAAATTATAAAATGCAACCAATAATACACATCATGACTTACTTCCTGTTGTGTAATAAAAATAACAGTTCAAGTATCATTGATTGGTAGAGAAAGACAGATTAAATTATAAAATGTAACCAATAATACACATTATGACTTACTCCCTATTGTGTAATAAAAATAACAGTTCAAGTATCATTGATTGGTAGAGAAAGACAGATTAAATTATAAAATGTAACCAATAATACACATTATGACTTACATGCTATTGTGTAATAAAAATAATAGTTCAAGTATCATTGATTGGTAGAGAAAGACAGAATAATTTATAAATGCAACCAATAATACACATTATGACTTACATGCTATTGTGTAATAAAAATAACAGTTCAAGTATCATTGATTGATAGAGAAAGACAGATTAAATAATATAAACATAACCAATAAAACACATTATGACTTACTATCTATTGTGTAATAAAAATAACAGTTCAAGTATCATTGAATGGTAGAGAAAGACAGAATAATTTATAAATGCAACCATTAATACACATTATGACTTACTGGCTATTGTGTAATAAAAATGACAATTTAAGTATTGTTGAGAAAGACATGTAGATTAAATTATAAAATGTAACGAATAAAACACATTATGACTTACTATCTATTGTGTAATAAAAGTAACAATCCAAGTATCATTGATTGGTAGAGAAAGACAGATTAAATTATAAAATGTAACCAATAATACACATTTTGACTTACTGCCTATTGTGTAATAAAAATAACAGTTCAAGTATCATTGATTGGTAGAGAAAGACAGAATAATTTATAAATGCGACCAATAATACACATTATGACTTACTGACTATTGTGTAATAAAAATAACAGTTCAAGTATCATTGATTGATAGAGAAAGACAGAATAATTTATAAATGCAACCAATAATACACATTTTGACTTACTGCCTATTGTGTAATAAAAATAACAGTTCAAGTATCATTGATTGGTAGAGAAAGACAGAATAAATTATAAAATGTAACCAATAATACACATTATGACTTACTCCCTATCGTGTAATAAAAATAATAGTTCAAGTATCATTGATTGGTAGAGAAAGACAGAATAATTTATAAATGC